TAATTTCTTGATTATTTTAAACAGCTGTTGTAAAAAACATGCACGCACATGTATGTATATGTGCAGTAGTATCAGATTAAGTCCCTGCAAGAACCATTTGCCGTAAACTTGAATACAAATACAAAATTTGTTTGCAAATAGGAAAAACTAAAACATAACTAAACGAGATTTAGAACCCCGTCAACAATTTTATCGCGGATGTCACTAATTTGATACATTTCTGTGAAAATCATATCCGAAGATATCGCTTTCTTCGAATTCTTATTCGTTGTCGGAAAGAAGGGTTCCACCGAAGTGTCACGTCTTTTATGATACCAAAGCGACACTACTACAAAGAACTATGTATTTCGATAGGAATAGGAAAGGTAAATGCGTATTTGATAAAATATAAAGAAAAATTTTGGGGCTTGGAATCGCAGACACCAAGTTTCGGTGCTTTGATCATTTCCGTTAATATTTTAAGCACAAACTTGTATTCCAAAAAGGCATAATCACTCAACAGATCTGTTTAAAAGGAAAATAATTTTAACGAGACTAAGCAAAAGACTTAAGGAGTAGAAATCGCGTGGAAACATTTTCAAAAAAAAGAAAAGCGATATTTTTTTTCCTGAAATAAGCTTATTAACTCCAATTATAATTGATCCACAACACAGGCCAACAAGATTTCAAAAAATTTTGAGGCACGGAAACTCAGCCCTGATTCTTACAGAATTTTTCCCGTAGGATCAAAATCTGAAATTAGAAATGCTACCAGTTTTTAAGATATTTTGACTTAAAAGTACCAAAATACAAATTTTTGGCATTTTTTAAACATCTATAAGGAATAACGGGGTCTGGTAGAATCTTTTGAATACGATGTAAAAAAAGCTTTTAAAAAGCATCAGCTACAAAAACAAGTTTAAAAATATATGCACAGCGAATAGCTACAACATGAAAATTACTCTAAATCAATTTTAAGTAGAAATATGCGGACATTTTTTACTTTTTGCTTACCTGTGCATTTTAAAAGATTTTCAAAAATAATACTACCATAAAGTCTTCTTATCTTTCAGAATAAGCTTTAAGCTTTCTTTACAACTATTAAAAATATTCTATCATGTATTGTTTTTATATTATAACGGTTCAAAATATGCCAATAATTCGTTTTTTTACACCTTTTAGTCAAAATATCTCAAAAACTAGAGCCAATCTGAAATTTCTAAGGTCAGATTCTGATTCTTCCGCAAAAATCTTATTCACTCGAAATGCTGCCAGGGAAGAGTACGGAGCGACCATGTACATTAAAATCTACAGTTATATTCAGTCGAATTTTCACATTGCTTTTAATAAATTCAAAAAAATGTTACCGGATTCAAACGGTATCATTTTAGAAGTAATTTGCGTTTGTGTTTGAGTATACGGCAAACTCTTCTGGTAGGGAGGGTCCTGTGAGGGAAATAGATGAAGTCGATTTCCCAATCATCATCTTAAGAAACTTTCTTACATTTTGTAGTATACGTTCATATGTTTGTATATACATACATACATACTATGATCGACCATGTTCCCATGTGCATGTGTAATAAGTGGGTCATGATAGAAAGAAAATTAGCAAAGTTTAGTCAAAATTTTCGTAAGTGCATAGTTAATAGCCAAAAATTACAAATTTCGAATTAAGAAGAATGCTTGCGTTATACATATATACACTTAGGTCTCTTTTTACGCGGATTTGAATTTATTCGGGTTTTCAGGCCATTTTTTCGCTGTAGCGATTTTGCTTTCTTGAGAGTTTTTATTATTTTTTAAGTGTGTAGGGGACAATGTTTCTGATAAATAATTTGTCTTTGTATTCTTACATAATTCATGTATTTATTGTTGTGTTTTTTTGATTTTTGGTTAAAATACAGATTTTATTTATTTCATTAATGTTCAGTTTTACATGAAGTAATAAGTGTTGAAGTGAAGAAATTCAATATTGCCTCATTGGATTTTTTTGCGGTTTTTTAGAATTTTTTTACATGGAGTGTCTGAATTTATGCGGTTTTTGAAATGCCGGAACGCATCCCCTTTTTTGTATAAAGTAAAGAACTTTTTCATGCGCCTTTCTGAGGAACGCATTTAGCGCATAAAAAAAGACCTAATTTATGTATATGTATAAACAATCATCTTAATTAGCTTTGATATGCTTACGCTCATGCGTACACATACACATATGAATAAGTTATCAGTCTGGTTGGCAAACAAAAAAAAAATGTTAGTACCCAGCTTGATGGAAAACTTACTTGGAGAGACTTTTATCGTGAATTAAAAAGTTTTTTGTTTTATATGGAAACCGACCCAGTCTAAATTATATGCATACATACATATCGTCGTTTAAAGTAAAAAACCGCGTAACTGCCATTTACTGCCAAAAGCTCTTGGCTCAATCGTTATCCATTCGTCCTGAAATATACTAGCCAGAAATGCGATTGCTTTATAAAAAAGAGAACCATTTTGAAAAATGAGTGTTTTTACCCACTAGAAAATAATTTATGCAACATCACATCACATACGCGGTTTTGCATTTTGATGATACGCGGTTTTGTACTTTAAACGACGATATGTATGTATGTATATCAGCAAAAGCCTTGAAAAATAAGGCAACTGCAATTCTCATTCAAAAGTTGTATGGCCATTAATCCTGATAGGCAGGCTTACGATCAAATCAAGTTGAGCAATATTACTCGGAAAACAGTGTCTCTCTCGCCTCTTATGCAAGAGGACCATTCATCAAAACTGTTCAACTTGTCTATTTCGATGTAGAATTGTTGAAAATATTTCTGTAAATCTTGTTCAGATATGAACTACCACTCAAAACTGTTGCTCCTACGCGTGAATGGTGCTTTAGTAAATCTCACAAAGAGGAATCCTTATTTGTCGCGTCTCTATTACTATCTGCGAAGTGGCCATCACTGTAATCAATGTCATCTAAAGCTTCACTGTTCGCATTATCCACATTGTCTCCACCTGTTGGAAAATGCATTAGATTGGTCTCCAGCATACCATTTAGGCTTAAAGGGGGCGAGTTGGATGACGGTATACTGCCAACACTCATTTGATCGTCCGAAAAGTCGATGTTAATGATTGTATTTTCTTCACCAGTGAAATAGTTCTTGGTGCGACCTGAGAGGTCAAACCTGTTGGCGGGAGCATTGGTGCTGCTGATGGCCTCGCAATTGTGAGTATTTTTAGACGATTTAACTTCTGATTTGTTAGTTTCTTTGTGCTTTCGAAGCTCAACTTTGGTTTCTATTCCACTTACGCAATCCATTTTATCGATGGTGGCAACATTGTTCTCTCGCAATACAGCGGGTACAACGCTCAAGCCTAAAATGACATAAACATACAGACATATACATATATAAGTATTTCTCGCAAACTCCAACTGATATTAATATTATATTTTACATTAAATTTTTTGTTCAACAATTATTA